GATTCCAACCATTTAAAACAGTTTTTGAACATTTTAATACACTTTTAAAATTGAAAAAGCGGACATCGTTAAGCGAAACAGGGGACCTAAAATGCATTCGTTATGCGAAGCATGGTCCCGAAATCGCTAAGCAAAAATATTTTTTTTTCTGCTTCAACTGTTTTTGGCCACTGGAAATAACGCTTCAGATATTCCGCACAAGACTAACGTGGCATACATTTTTAGTTTACTTACTGAACAGACGTCAAACAAATGAAGAAAATCAGATCTCCAGTCAATTCAAGGCAAATGAGCATTTCCAATGGAACGTTTTCCTGAAAACCCACCTCATTATTTGTGCTTAGGTTCTGCTGATTTCAGTGGAACCAAAGTCTTATTTCTGAAGAAACAGAAAATGTTTAAGAAATAGTTACCTTCTGTTTCCTTTACTCCTTCTTTAATAATCTTCGTCAGTTCCGAAAGCACAAGGCAAGATGAAAGCCGATCATTCTCTATAAACTTGTTCAAGTTCCCTTTTTGCGGATTCCTTTTCATCTTTATATAATAAAAAGCGCCACAAGAGCCACTCACATCGCAGGTTTCCAGCTCAAACCTTAGACCTGGCATTTTTAGCAAAATATCAAACTCATTTGGGCTACACACCTGTAAGCCAAATATACAAAAATATCCAGGAGAAAAAAAATTTACAATAATAAAGATCACACTCATATTATATCTCAAGAGAGATCATCCTTTGTTAGGTTGCCTGCTGGGTAGGAAGATGTTTCATTAAGGAAGTTAGAGGCAGGAGCAACTTACAGTAATACATCAAAAGCTAACAAGGGGTTATAGAGAAGAGGAACTATTCCTCTTGTCAACTTCCAAAGCAGGGACAGAAAACTTCTAGAGGTGGGGGGGGCTAGACCTTGGAGGACTGCACCTGCATCTTCTTACGTATCCCAATCCCTCAAAACTTTTTCTTACAAAAAGAGATTGTTATTTAATTGAAAAAGGCTCCCTAGTGTCTTCCAAAGGCCATTTTAAAAATGGGAAGATTGATGTTTGAACCAAGGTATAGAAAATGCTTAACTATTTCAATAAAGAAATTTAAATAGTTAAAAATCTTCTGTACCTTGGTTGAACTATCAATCAAAACGGAGATTACAGAAAAGAAATCTGACTCAAGATGAGCAGCCAAAGAAACCAGAAAAGATCCTTAAGTGTAAGGATGGGTCACTGGAACCAAAGATAAAGATAATCTATACCAGGGGTGGTGGACTTTCAACACTCTAGATGCTTTGGACTACAAATCCCAGAATCCTTAGACTATACTGCCAATGATGGGATTTGTAATCCGGGGTGGTGGACTTTCAACACTCTAGAGCAGTCGTCCCCAACCTTGGGCCTCCAGATGTTCTTGGACTTCAACTCCCAGAAATCCTGGCCAGCAGAGGTGGTGCTGAAGGCTTCTAGGAGTTGTAGTCCAAGAACAGCTGGAGGCCCAAGGTTGGGGACCACTGCTCTAGATGCTTTCGACTACAAATCCCAGAATCCTTAGTCTATACTGCCAATGATGGGATTTGTAATCCAATATATCTGGATTGCCAAATGTTTGCAACCCCGATCTACTGTATTGCTACAGATGTGAACGCTATACAGTGAAGAAATCCAACAGAAAGTCAGAATCTGCTCATTTGAAACGTGTTGGAGAAGAGCTTTATGGATACCATCAACCACCAGAAAAACGAATAAGTGAGCACCAGATCAAATGAAGTCTGAATGCTTCCTAGAAGCAAAGCTGATTAAGCTGAGACTATCATACTTTCAGCAGATCATGAGAAGACTTCAATAAAATATGTCACAGTTTGAGTTTACAAGAACTGAGCGTGGCTATTAATGACTTTTTGGAGGTCACAAATTGATAGTGTCAGTAAGAAACCATCTGACGATATACAATATAAAGGGGTTCAGATACAATAAAACTGACCCTTTCAACGTTGGCACTTATTCAGGCTCAAGTAAACATTGGGAGTGTGGGATGCTGGATGCATCTGGGTCCCTAGGGGCTCATTTTCATCCCACAGGCCATGTATTGCCCATCCCTGATCTAGACATTGCTCACTTGCCAGGATACTGGATCTGTTTCCACCCATCATATGGGCAAAAACCAGACTGAAAGTTAAAAAAAGGCTGCTTCCAAATGGCAGCCATATGTTTAATTTCTTGTCCCAACAAGATATTTGAAGTGGTGAAAATTGGACATGGCATTTTATACTGTAGTACCAAATTATTAAGATATTCCTGTCATCTGGAAACATTGTACAAGCCCAACTGTTCCTGTTTTAGTATTTTTTTTCTGGTTTATAGTTTTGTCTCTATTGAAAATTCATGTCACAGCTAGAAAGCTGTAGCTAAATACACACAAAACTGGAAAATATAAACTGGCCAATTTTAATATTCAAATCATATTATGACAGCAGACCGGAATAAAATTCAAAGCAACAATGGAGAAAAGGAAGAGACACACAAAACAGAGACGTTAATGATACTAGAAGAATAAAGACCAGATGGGCGGGATACAAATCAAATCAAATCAATCAATCAATCAATCAATAATTAATCTGTAGTTGATTCACAATAACAACTTTCAATATTCCAGGCCTTTGCCTCTTGCATCACTGCACATACAGTATCTGAGTTTACTCAGACACTTGTCTAAGTGAGCATACAAAGGGAAAGCTGTATCCGGAGGAAACATCTTGGCTTCTTGCCACACCAGTCTGCCAAAAACTAGTTTTGTGTACCTGACAGATAAGACATAAGTGCTCAAGAGGTTATATTTAATATAGTACACTAAAAACGGAATTCTGTACATAGCAGCAAACACTTATTACCATAGAACCAAGAGGCTTCCAATGCCTGACAGGCAGACATTAATCTGCTAGAGTTCTTGTTAATGAATCACTAAGTGGAGAGTTGCGCTGCTGAATTACTGTCTGCCATGCAGATCTTACCAGGAGCTCTACTGAGAAGAAAAGGTCATCAGACTTCTTGTGCCCAAAGGTAAACATTCTGACAGTCCCTGTTAGTCCCTGTCACTCACACTGATAGATAGATTGACCTGCCCTTGTGAGTACAAGACTTCTACTAAGTGGACTTCAAACACTGGATGAGCGTATCTGGTCCTCAAAATAGGCAAGAGTGAAGTAGCTCCCTAAAGTGACAAGAGCTGTAAGAATGCATTTCAATTATTATCTCTATTTTAAAAAGAAATAATGAAATGAAAGAATAATTAAAATCATAAAGAGATGACAGAATTGCAAGCCTTGATTTGAGAAAGGGGACTGAAGAAATTGCTTACAGTGGATATAAAAAGTTTACACACCCCTGTTAAAATGTCAAGTGTCTGTGCTGTAAAATAATGAGATAAAGATAAATCATTTCAGAACATTTTCCACCTTTAATGAGACCTATGAACTGTATAACTCAGTGGAACAACAACCTGAAATCATTTAGGGGGAGGGAAGTGGGCTAAGGAGGGCGCCTGCAGGGCGGGGAAAGGACCACCTCCGGCCGGCTGGGATTTACCTTGACGCGCTCGTAGTAACTGCCGGCGCCCAGGGGCTCGACCTCGCGGAAGCAGGGGCTCTTCCTGATGGCCGCCACCACCGTGTCCCTGACCTTGTTGACCAGCTGCGCGGCTTTCGACCGCTCCTCTTTGGCTAGTTTCAGCTTCTCCAAGACCCGCGGGAGGATCAGGGCCCCCTTCTGCTTGGGGTCCGCGCCGGCCGGCTCTTCCACGGGGGCAGGTCGGCTCTTCCGCACCTTGGTGGCCGCCGCCCCGGCTCCCGTCCCGGGCCGCTCCGGCTTCTTCCCCGGGAGGTCTCCCTCCTGCGCCGGGCCGCTCCGGCTTCTTCCCTGGGAGGTCTCCCTCCTGCGACTTGGGCTGAGAAGGGAGCCCCTCCTCGGCGGGCTCGGCTCTTTCCTCCTCCTCCGCCGCCGCCTGGCCGCTCCCTTCCTCTTGAGGGGCGCCCTCGGGTCTCTTCTGGCCAGAGCGCCTCCCTCTTCGGGCGACTTCTTTCCCCGCCTCGAGGGGGGGACGACGAGGACCCGGCGCCTGGGCAGCGGCGCGCCTCCTCCCCGCCTGGCCAGGCCCGTCCCTCGGGAGGGCACCGCTGCTCTCCTCCGCCGGGCAAGCGGCGCTTTGCTTCTCCAGGGGACCGCCATCCGCCTCTTCAGGCTTGGCTTCGCGCGCTTTGGAAGCGCTCCCCCCGTTTCTCTTCAGGGAAGCTTTCCTGGGGACGGCGCCTTCCCTCCCCAGCTCGGATGCGGGCTCTTCATTCAAGAGCGAGCCTTTACTTCTCGCGGGCCGTCCGGCGTTTTCTCCTTTGCCCTGCCTGCCCCTTCCTCCCTTGCTAGCCGGTGCTGGGGGTGCCAATGCCGCCTCCTCCTCCTCCTCCTCCTTTCCCCCTGGCGGAGCGGCGGACGAGCCTTCCCTGGCGCCTCTTCTCCTCCCGGGTGGCCCCCCCGCTCGCTGCATCACGCCGCCGCTCTTTCCCGCCAGAAACCAAAGCAAGCAGCCCCTCGGCGGGAAGCTCGCCGCTTCTGTCAGCCTCCTCGGCCCGCGCCCTGCCCTGCCCTGCCCCTCCCGTGGTGGAGGCCGGTCCCGCGGAGAAACGAAACTTTCGACGGGGAAGAGGCCGGGCTGGAAATCCCACCGCGCCTCTTTTTGCGAGTTTTGGCTTGCTCTGCTTCTCCGCCACTGATTTCTGATCTCCTTCTTGGCGGGCGGCGACGGAGCCCCTGTGGCCCATCGGGCTTCTTTCTGCTTTGCGCTGACCAGGCGTTTTCCCAAAGGCCCGTTCAACGCTTAGACGGGGTTAGGGTTTCCCACCCCCATCCCCTTTTTTTTCTTTTGCCACCTGCTCAAAATGATTCAGGAGAAATGATCTCCACCCACCGGGCGTTACGACTTCTGCGCACTTTCAGAACAATGTTCCGGACAACCTGCCTGCCAAAATCCGTTGCTCCGCTAGTCGAAAAAATGCATTCCTTCAGCGACAGTTTCCTACGATTTCTATGCACATGTGTGATCTCTATGCATGCATGTCCCAGTAGGACCCACAAGAGGGGGACGAACTCCCACTTCGGTGTGCATGGGGCTTCAACCTTCCATGCTGTCTTGGGTGCTGGGAAAATACCATATCCTCCTCTCAACTACAAACAAGCAAATTACAAACAAGCAAAAGCAACGCGGTCTTTCTTGGTGCAAAGCAAGGTATCCTGGTGACACCTTTGTTGTTTAGTCATTTAGTTGTGTCTGACTCTTCTGACCCCATGGAACAGGCCCTCCTGTCTTCCACTGCCTCCCAGAGTTGGGTCAAATTCATGTTGGTAGCTTCAATAGTCACCAGGAAAACCATCTAAGGCATAGACTGATCTTCTGAAATCCTTTGGTGCACCCGAGTAGCCAGCCAATATTTGCAATATGATCTTGAGTGCCTCTTCCTTTTTTGGAATCTATCTTGAACATCAGGCATTTCTTGCCCCATGTAAGGTAAAAGCCTTTGTTGCAACACCTTGAGCATCACTTTTGATTGCATCAGAAATTATTGCAATGGCCCTACAGTGACTGCACTCCTTGGCATCTCTTTTCTTGGGGACTGGAATTTATATTGAACGTTGCCAGTCTGTAAGCCATTGCCCCCATTTGTTGGCAGTATCAAAGGAGAAATGTCAACTGCACCTTGATCTCCTGTCTGAGAGGACATCAAAACAGTAAAAACCATCTAAGGCATAGACTGATCTTCTGAAATCCTTTGGTGAACCCGAGTAGCCAGCCAATATTTGCAATATGATCTTGAGTGCCTCTTCCTTTTTTGGAATCTATCTTGAACATCAGGCATTTCTCGCTCCATGTAAGGTAAAAGCCTTTGTTGCAACACCTTGAGCATCACTTTTGATTGCATCAGAAATTATTGCAATGGCCCTACAGTGACTGCACTCCTTGTCATCTCTTTTCTTGGGGACTGGAATTTATATTGAACGTTGCCAGTCTGTAAGCCATTGCCCCCATTTGTTGGCAGTATCAAAGGAGAAATGTCAACTGCACCTTGATCTCCTGTCTGAGAGGACATCAAAACAGTACCAAAGGAGACTAATAAACTTACCTCTTGATGTCAAAAATTAGTCTGGGTTCCTTCTCTGGATTCATGCAAATTGAGGAAGGATTTGGGTTGCAGTTTGGGCACTTGGACTCAAAAAGATTTGCCACCACTGCTATAGAGAGAATCCTTTTAACCTGGTAATCATCACAAAAGCCAAAATCATCCATTCGCTGACTAAAATCCAATTGCTTAGCACAGTAATTCACACTAGAGTAGTCCCACTGAATCAGTGGGGATTTGTTAAGTCAACTCTTCTAAATTTTATTGATTCAAATATATCTACTTTAGTTGTAAATTACTATACTAAATTAAGTGGCAACTAGAGTAAGCCCATGTGAATCAATGGAACCTATGGAGGAGTTGACTCACCAAAACCCCACTAATTCAGTTGGCCTACTGAATTACTACATTGAGCAACAGAATTTCAACCACTACGTACACATGTAAAAACTGAACAATGAAGAAAGTCAACAGGAAAACAATCAGCTCATTTATAACAATTAATAGTCAATTAAAACTCATCTACCTTATGAAGGTCCTATTCTTGATAGCTACAAAACTGCTATATCTAGTTTGCTAATTTAGACCAACACCATAGGTAATTCATAACTGGAGCAGGTAAGAGTGCCCTCAAAAATGTAGGGTACACACACACCCATTTGCTCCATTAGGTGTCCTGCTGAACGCAGTTGGCTGCCTTTCTGGACTGTTCTTGATGACATTTGGCTATGGGAACTGGCAGGATCACAGTTGTAACTGTCAGGAACAAGAGATTGGGCTGGAAAGACCTTTAATCAAACAGTGTTCTCTGAGTAAGCGAGCGGTAACACAGGAGTTGGAAACAGCATGGTTACTAATGCATGTATCTTGTCTGAGATGTTTGGACTTTCCTCCAGAGGCTGTGCATGGGAAAGGGGAAGAGTTCTGCGGTTGCGCCACAGCTGTGGACTGTTGAAGGATGGCACCCACACTTTCCTGTCAGAGCACAACAGTCCGGAAATGTGCCATTGCCAATCTCCTTACACTGAAGATGTTTATGGGAATAGGAAAACCCAGTCTTCCAAGAATTAACACCGAAACTACACATATGCATTCCCACTACCACCACATTGCCTGGTAAGCAGGAGAATTCATGAACATAAACAGCAATAAGAGGAAGTTCCACTAATAATTAAATCTGATGGAATCATTGCAGTTTGATCAAAGCTCATACTATTTACCAACAAAGCATGGGGCGTGAATTCCCGATGTGCGGTATAGAGAATAGAGTGATGACTCAAGGGATCTTGGGTTTGAATTCCTGATTAGCAGTGGAAACTAAACGGGAGAGGGGTGTGGAACTGGAAAAACCAATCCTTAACTACCTCATTTACCTTGAAAGCCCTGTAAGTCCGTGATGACTTGACATCACAGAATAGAAAAAGAAGCGGCACGCACTTATCATACAAAAAACCGAAAACAAAAAAAACACCGGAGCAATCGTTAATGTTGTAGCCATGCTTGCTCTCCTTACCACCCTAAACGTATTTCCTAGCGAATAAACTGAACGGACACAACTGGAAACAAACTTCTTTCCCGACAAACACGCACAGGAATAAGCATCTAAGCCTGGAAATTTATTGTACACTTTTCCTCCTTGGGATAAAATCTCATTGATTTCCACCAGCTGTTCTTCAGAACGCATCAGCGAAGGACCAAGTTGCAGGAGAAGCGTGGAATCAAACTGCATAGGTAGCAATTCTGAAAGAAACAAGGGCCGGATGCTTGCGTGGCGATGAAAAACTCAACAAAACGCATCGCAAGAGAATCAGTCCCTTTTCAATCAAAATACGTACATAGGGAATGAAGATCCGGACCTGCCTCGAAATTGGACTTTTAACACGCACACACACAAAATTAATAGCAGTAGCAGCTCCCTCATCATATTTCTTGTTTATTTTAAAGAAAATTCTTTTTCCCCCTCTTCTTTTATCTACAAATGCTAGCGAAGCCTGACCGAAAGCTTTCCCAAGAGAGAAACAAGGGCGCCCTGCTCTACCTCTCGGTACTATGGATTTAAAAAAAAAAAGAGCCATTGAGCTAAAGTAGATCACGTGGCTTTCGCACACGCCACGCCTATCTCTGTTTATGCAAATGAGCAGAGAGACTGAAAGGCGGTCCCGTTCCTTCGGTTTGCTCCGTAGCCCCCATTCACTGCTCGGGAAAAGATAGGACCACGCCTATTCGGCACTACGCACGCGCAGAATTGTTCGCCGGTCTGCGGCGGAAGACTTCGCCCCAGAGGCCTGTCAATCAGCCTGCCGCTACAGGGAAGATGGCGGCGCCCGTAAGGTCCGCGGAGTAGCTGAGCCGCGGTGGTTACTCTGCGCCGAGCTTCACGCCCCCCCACCTGTGGTTTTTTTGTCGTCGTGCCTGACGCTTCCCTCGAGATTTCCAGATGTTGCCGCTCAGCCGTAGGTGGCGCCGGTTTGCGGCGACCCCGGTCTCCGCGAGCTGGTTCCAGTGCACAAGGAAAGACGCAACCTCGGCCCATCATGACGTCAGCACTCCGAAGTATGACGTCGTGGTCATCGGTGGTGGTCACGCCGGCACGGAAGCGGCCTCGGCGGCAGCCAGGCTGGGCGCGCACACTCTGCTGCTCACGCACAAAATAGACACCATAGGTAAATCGGAGGGAGAAAGAAGCGAACTCTTTTTATTGCTGCGAAGTTTAAAGACATGTACAATGTGGGCAGTGCGCAAGAAAGAGGAACGTTATTAAAAATGTTGTTAACGAATCAGTTTAGATAACGGAGAACACGCAGTCGGACTAGAGAAAGCCTAGAACACGTTCACCAGCGTGTCTTTACGACCTATAGGATGGGGCATATTCTTGCATAAGGATCACATATGATGCGCAAGGGGGTAAATTCACTTGCAGCTGCAGAGGGTCTCTGATTACAGCCCCCCCCCACACACATTGGATCCCGCACTGCTGAAAAGTAATCTCATTCCACCAAAGTGTATCTCTTTACAGTACGAAGTGACAAATCTCTTCTGGCCGGCACACTCCATTGAATCATCATTTTTGAGATGTCACTGAACTGTGTCCAGAACCAAGAGTGATTGTAGACTTCCCCAGTCTCACCAGCAATCTTATCTTCCAAGTTCTCAGCCTTTCTCCTTTTGCTTCTGCATATGGCAGTGGGGAAAATATGCTGAGAGATTGGCAACCTTTGTTTAGGTTGATTGTCTTTTTCAGTGAAACCAACATCACCTGAAGTGAAACCTGCCACTTCAGGCTGATTCTGAAAGGCTGCAGATGCCATTTGGAGATGAAAAATAAATAAGATTATGTGATGCCAGCACCAGGTCAAGATGATTTGCAAACCTTTTTTTTCCTTCCCTCCTCCACTATCAAACTCTGTAGTGGGCAGCCTGATGACAAGGCCTTCCAAACTCAAAAGTTACCCTGTTGGTGATATTGTAGTGGGCTAGTAAAGATACCACCCAATCTTGAGCAAAGCTTTCTGGCACTTTAAAATTACAGTTTATTGGACTGTGCACACTTATGGGCTAGAGATTTATCACTTCATACAAAAAAGACAAGATTTGCCGGTTCAGCTAGTAAATTTAGAAGTGCAGAATTTGTATAAGCAAGCTCTATAAATGTAACTAACACTGCCCAACGATTAATGATGGCTATCCATGTAGTATAATTGAAATCATGTAATATTGTCTATTTTTGGTTATAACGTGGATAGTTCTGAGAAACTATGTTGAATGGAATGAAATTGTATCTTTTGGGTACATAAGAGTCTTCTTTCATTAGAAGGTTAAAACTGTACCATCCCAAGAGCATATCTGCTTAGGTAAAGGTAAAGGTTCCCCTCGACAATTTTTGTCCAGTCGTGTTCGACTCTAGGGGCAGTGCTCACCCCCGTTTCCAAGCCATAGAGCCAGCGTTTTGTCCGAAGACAATCTTCCATGGTCACATGGCCAGTGAGACTTAGACACTGAACGCTGTTACCTTCCCACCATGGTGGTCCCTATTTATCTACTCGCATTTGCATGCTTTCAAACTGCTAGGTTGGCGGGAGCTGGGACAAGCGACGGGCGCTCACTCTGTCGCATGGATTCGATCTTACAACTGCTGGTCTTCTGACCCTGCAGCACAGGCTTCTGCGGTTTAGCCCGCAGCGCCACCACATCCCTATATAATTGGATGTAGGATAGAGATGGGGGTATTGGTATTCATATACAAATGTCTCCACGCAGCTGGACTTAACAAGGGTCCACTCATATGTCCTGCTGCAGCGGTGGCCCTGCTCATCTTTCCAGTTGTTCCCAGAGTGTCGCTCTCTTCCCGCTCACCTGATCACTTGGCAGCCATGCAGGGAGACTCGTCCTCCATCCGCCTGCCTGGAGTGGCCAGCCAAACAAGAAGAGAGCGGTGCTCCAGATGCAGTTGGAAGGATGAATGGGGCAGCCACCACAACAGGACACGTGAGTGGATGGCCCAGCTTGAGGGGCCAGACCCTCATTAAGTCCAGCTGTCAGGGATATTCATATATGAATACGCCTATCTCTAGTATAGAATTGTAGCCAAAGCCCTTTTGATTAACATTTGAGTCATAAGTGGAACTACAAAACATAACAACCATACTGGCCAAAATCCTCTTGTGTAGTTGTGCTGGCATAATGCTACTAACATAACTTGGGGAGATGAACTGCCTCAAGTTAAGAAAACACTGTAGCCATTATTTGTTGCATGCTGATTTGTGTGACATAGTATGCAACAGGGGACCGGAAACCAAGCCCTATGAGGAAAAACTGAAATAACTGACCATGTTTAGCCTTGAGAAGAGAAGACTGAGGGGAGACATGATAGTACTTTTCAAATACCTGAAAGGCTGTCATCCAGAGGAGAGGAAGGATCTGTTCTCAATCTTCCCAGAGTGCAGGACACACAATAATGAGCTCAAGTTACAGGAAGCCAGATTTCAGTTGAGTATCAGGAAAAACATCCTAAAGAGGTGGTGAGTGTTCTAACAGTGGAGACAGTCAAGAGAAATTTAGGCAACCACCTGGCAGATCTTTAATTTCTATTCCTGCATCGAGCAAGGAGTTGGACTCAATGGCCTTATAGGACCCGTCCAACTTCATTATTCTATGATTCTATGAATTTTCAAAAAAGAGTGATGGAAATGTGGAAAAGGAAACATTCAAGTAGTGACATAACTGAACAACAGTTAATGGACCAGAGAAGGCTTATCATCCGGAGTAAAATGTTTTCAGAAATGGAGTTGCAAGAACTAGAAAAGTTGGCCAAAAAAATCAACAGATAATAATGACCATAGGATGGAAGGGAAATGGAGGGTAGAGGTAGACATAATAGTGGAAGAAAATGTATCAATAGAGGAACAATGTATGGAACAACCCAGAAGTTATGAATTGACAGAACAGCAAACATCGTTGAGGGAAAAATAGTAAACCATATTAGTCAGAACAGAAAGACAAAGGCTCCCCAATTTGCGCCAATTACAAAGAAAATCAGTAAAAGATCTACTGAGTGATGCAAATGTAGTCATCAGAATAATACCATATATAATAAATATTGCTGTTGCCAGCTGACCTTAGCTGAAAACAATTAGAAAGTTGATGGGAAAAGTTCCAAAAATCTTATCTACTGAGCATTAGGCTTAACAAGATTTAGAGGTTTAATGAGTTCTACAGTTGGAATATTTTTCATTTTATTTCATTTTGATACTTTGTAATTGATCATTCATGAGAACTTTGCAGGGTCAGACTAAAGCTTTAGCTTCCAGCATCTATCAGTCTAGCAACCTGTTTCAACTTCACTTGTTGTGTTGTGCAGGACAAATGTCATGCAACCCTTCCTTTGGTGGAATTGGAAAAGGGCATCTGGTAAGAGAGGTGGATGCACTGGATGGGCTCTGTGCTAGAATCTGTGATCGGTCTGGAGTGCATTACCGTGTCCTGAACAAGAGGAAGGGACCAGCTGTCTGGGGTCTCCGTGCCCAAATTGACAGGAAGCTCTACAAAGAGAATATGCAGGTGAGAATGGGGGAGAGGAGTGGGGATGACAGAGGTTACCTTGCCGATTTGATTATGACTCTGAAAAACTGGATTATAGCCATTATAATCTCCATTTAGCTGTGAAGCTCACTTGGTGATCTTGGGCCAGTCTCTCAGCCTGACCTGCCATTACAAAGTTGTTCTGAAGATAACATAGGGAGAGGAAAGCCATGTGCACCTTCTTGAACTCACTGGAGGAAAATGGAGTTTATTAATGCAACTAAGAAAAATCTAATGGCTGGAATTAAAGGCTTCCCCCATCTCAAGCCCCTTCCCCCCATGCACAGGCTTCTCCATGTCAAAATAGATTCTTTGAATGTCTCAGAATTTGTGGAATAGGAAACTTTTAATTAAAGATAAAAGCCTATGACTAATGACATCATCAGCCTTATGCACACAGAGCTGTGCCAACAGGATTCCCGTCAATAAATAAAAATGTATGTGTCCAAGATGGATCTCAAATACAATACAATAAAAAGAGTGCTTTTACCCATTTAATCCTGAGACATTCCCAAGGTGTTCCATAAACATAGGGTAGGACCAGGATTGTCATTTTGGGGGCATCCTAAAATTTTACTGATTTTAGAATTCTGAAGCAATGTCAGAGTGTTTGAAACATTCAGACAGAAAAGCCTGATTGAAGAAATGTCCCCACTGTAGCTATGTTTTATGCAAACTTTTTTGGGGAGGAGGGGTTAATGAAGAAAAGGACAGGGGTCAGGGAACTTTTTTACCTTTTACCCCCCAAAAAATTTATATATGCCGACATTACCCCCTTGATTCGAAAGGAAGGAAATCATACATTATTTGAATTAAATATTATTGAATCTACACATGCTATGTACCGAACTAGCAGTATGCACCAAATTTGATAAATATGTGCACTATTTTTGCTGGAACACATTGCACTCCAGCCATGGGGTGGTATAGGGAGTAGTAAGGTGTCCAACGTTCCTAGCAAGTTGCATTACATTTTTGCTAGCTCGCAGAGGATTTAATCATCATCAGTGGCTGCCAGAGTGGTGCTAGCAATGACATGCTTGCTAGAGACAGCCAACGCAGAATTTTTTTGGGGGGGGGGCTTTCCCTACCACTTTAATCATTCTATGTATGGTGTGCAAAAAGGAACAAACCAGGCTAAAGGTCATGTCACCCACCCTGTTGCCACAGCCCAATATCAAAGGACCAGTGTGCTTTTTTATCATCAATGGAAAACTCAGCAGTGGCCAGAGGATTGGAAAAGATCAGTCTACATCCCAATCCCAAAGAAGGG